GATCTGACCCACTTAGTGTGTTCAGCAAACCTGGTAGAGACAGGCTACCATACGCCTCTGTTGCCGTCGAAGGTACTGAAATAGGGGCAGTTCGATGATCCGGACCTACTCGGAGTCAACCTCTTTGAGCTTTTCGCCCCAAAGACTCGGGATTTCTGAACGGCCGGCAACCTGAAGTTGCCTGCTGAAGAGCAATGTTTCGACGATTATGGTGGTGTATGTATTCAGCAATTGTTGGCTGCACTAAAGAAGAAAAACAATTTTGAAAAAAGTTGCCAAATGAGCAAAGACTTTTCCGATTGCCTAATATCAAATCAATGGTGCATTTAAAGCAACAATCCCATATGAGGTCGTGTCCTGAAATGTGTTTTGTGGACAAGGTAGAGGAGCCATGAGCATTACAGATGTGCCGTTGTCGCGGCTCGAAGTGCGCGACAACGCGCTAGGGCTTAGTGATTGATGACGACTAATGTGAACTTGCAGACGAGATCTTTCTCGCTCGCCCTCGTGCAACGTGGATTACGTCGTAGCGTCGTAGCCGGGATATAGATAGGTATGGTACTCTCATCGCATTGATGCCGTTGCGTTCAAAAAATCGTCTAGACACGTCCTTCTCGCTGGGGTTGTTGCTTTGACCAGTTCGTTGCGTTATGCGTGTGAATGATGATAAGCTGTGATAGATATACCATTCTGAGCTAACCATCCTTCCCTTGTGAGGTGAAACATGGCCTGTGACGAGGTATAGCAGTTATCTCTGCAGCCCCGAGTGAGTACTTTACCATGAAGAACGACTCCTTCGAGTCATCCGCTACGTTGTGTAACGCTGTCTGTTATGTCGATAGAACTGTGGTCTTAATTCTCCCCCTGACTTTGGATGCTATGCCTTGCTCAATATCGTTAGGACTGGATCTATCTCCAAAGCGGAGTTACGGTAAATCTACAATGGGAAGAGGAAAGATACTGAATAGTGCGCCGGAGGCGAAAATTGGAAATCTCTGAAACACACGCAAAGAACCCCTTTGTCTCCCGCTGACTTCCAACAATGAACGAGCCAGCAACCAATTCATGCTAACCCACCAGCCATCATCCTGCCAACACACATGGTGATTCGATTGACTGGCAACACGCTGGGGGATGGAGCACAGGAAAGATTCGTCATTCCTAGAGCGCTTCACCTTTGGGCGCGTCTCTCTTCTCGCTGATATGCTTAACTGTGATGTGCTTCATGCACACACGCCTTGTCGTAATCCCCCTCTTTGAAGGCACGATCCAGGATAGGGGAAAAATCGGTTGAGATTCGTCAACGAACCGTCGAGGATTCTCGCCTGTTCAGCCATGTTCCCTCGCGCGGGACACTCATTCTCGTTCACGCGCGGCCGTCTGTGCTCTCTACGCGCGTAGATTCATTCTCGATACTATTACCACACTATTCAGAGCCGTGGTCGAAGATTTCCTCGACCGTTGTTCACCCTGCCCGGGATCGAATCTGTAGGATAAAGGGAGATGAGCGCACGCTAATGATTGTAGGAGAGAGAAGTGGACCGTCACTTAGGAAAAAATGAATAGAACTGTCAGGAGCACAGAAATAGGCTTTCCGTTCTAGTTGTGCTGTACTATGTAGCGGACAGCGAGTTGAGAAATAATGGGCGCCGAAGAGAGATAGAAGTTCTATAAGACGAGAGAGCATGCAGTTGAGCGAGGCGACGCAAATGATTCTATACAGCCACTGTGGGCGGCCAGGGTCTTGGCACCTGATAACGTTGTTTCTGGGGCATCTTTTGCCACTATGACATCTCGTATCGCATCGTCCCACGTTCCCTGCTCCTTTTCAACCTTTTCGCAGCATTTTCTTTCACCATTTAGGGTTATCTCTTCAATTCTCCCAGATCGTGTATTTTAAGAACACCTCTTACACACCGAAATGCTTCATGTTTAGATGTCGAGAAATGTTGAGATCAAAGCGAAAGTACGCAATCGTGACGAGATCATACGATTAGCGAGGGAACTCACTGGTAAGGAACCAGCAGTTTTGCAGCAGCATGACGTCTTCTACAATTCTCCAGAAGGGCGTCTCAAAATGCGTACTGTAGAAGAGGACGGAGTGGTTAGTGATTTTCTGCGCTGTGTCTACGTGAACAATGAGGAAACCATCTTTTTAAGCTGTCGAGACGAGGTTCTTGTTTAGCTCAAGCAACATTTTGTTGGGTTGTATGGGACGGGAAAGAATCTCCATTTCATTCTCTTGCTCTCTAGCACGCTTTCGTTTGGCATAATACCTTCCTTCAGATTTTTTCTCCGTGTGTATCCCCTGTTCTGAACTTGAATTTCGCTGTGCTCAAAACATGAACAGATTATTCTTTCCTAGGTGCGCTCGGAACTAATTTGGTACGATCGTCCAGACGTAGCAGGACCAAAAGAGAGCAAATTCCACAAATTTGATATCCCTCAAGAGGTGCTCAGTGCACTGAGTGTAAGCATTCCGTATATTTTTACTTTATTTAGTGGTTATTAGTGGTTACCATCTCACTATCTGTTTATTATTCTTGATTGTAGCGCCTGAAAGGGTATTTTTTGCAGACCACCCTTCAGTGTTCGATGGGGATCAAGGGAGAAGTGAAGAAAACCCGAACGCTTTTTATGTGTGGTAGAACGCGCATTCACATTGATTCTGTCGAAGGCCTTGGAGATTACATGGAGCTGGAGGTTTGTTTATGACGTTTATTTTAAAGGCACGAGTCGGGATTGAATTGATGCGTTATTTTGTTCAAACATTAGGCAAGGGGTGCAATGAGGAACATTAGTGAGGAGAAAAAGCAAAAAGCGAAAACACTAAATTTCCCTTAGGAGGCCGGCCGTAGTACGACGGAGAGACACAGCGCTGCGAGGAGAGGGAGAACGCGAGATAGTACGTCATACGCGAGAGACGCAGAGACCACGTATGCCGTGGTGGATTACGCTGGCAGCGCGGCGGGCAAGGCCTTAGCGCCATTGCCGCGCACTTTTGGGTCGCGATAGTGTCTCAGTGCTTGGGGAGCCCACTATCGCACCTTGGAAGAACTTCTGTTGCTTTTATTATCCGATTTTGCTTTTAAAGGACGAATTTACGATGGAAAAGCAACCCATTCCAAATTGAGGTAGAGATGGTGAGTAGTACCAGAAAGAAAGCGAAACCACGAAAAACGGCCCAGAACCGGAGAAATGGGACCCCTTCCTTGTCCGTTGATTTGAGCATTGATGGGACTCTCATCGCTTTGCCCTCTTCAACACTACGCTCTCTCAGCTATCTAATCACTCGCCACGTATTGAACTACGGCGAGTGATCAGACGATCGGTGGGCGGAGATCGCCGAACTCGCCAACTTTGAGCCATGCTAGATCTCAGAGGTCAAATCTTTCGATGCCGATTGCGTGTCTGTCCGCACCCTCAAGAGATTCACCGCTCTCCCCACTAGGCGATTTCTCCCTTCTTCGACCTTCGTTCTTTCCGTGCAATCCTCCTTTAATTAGATGAATCGTAAACAGTCGTATTTGGAATGCGACTCAAATTCCCATTCGACGTTAATGGAATATTCCGCAATAGCATAAAAGGAGTATGTTGGGAATCGGTAGGATCCTGAAAGGACTTTGGGGCCACGGTGAGTTTCTGGGTGCCATATTCACAAGAAATGCGAAAACTCCTTCTTCCACAAATGGACATTTATCCAACCGATGCTTTTTTCCTCTTCGAGACCATCGTTCCCGTGGCTCACAGTTGCCTTTTTGTACAGTGCCGTGCAGCACTTCGAAAATCGAAGAATCAGCGCAAAAAATAGACTCGGCATTTCTCGCTCTTTGTGCCAGTTGGGGCGTGCTTCGCCGTTACTCACTAATGGAAACTAAACCTTGATTTATCCCAAACCCTCGTAGATAAGTACGCCCTAGATACTAACAAGGGAGGTAATCCCGGTTGAAGCGACCATTCGTAATAAAAACTATGCTCACAGACTTGTTTCGAATTCTGATCTCAGATCCGCCTTCTAAAGTTGCGAACACGGATTCTCGGAACACAATTACAAAGGTTGTTTTGCATAACACTCCACTATAATAGACACCGGCTGCTTGCGGTTATAGCAAGCAGAGGCTTGGTCGATGGGAAAAAATACCATGAAAATCTAAATCAATGGAGCGGACAAGGAGAGAAACTAGGACAATCACTGTATTTTATGACACACTCATCACTGATATTATGATAAAGAGGTCGTGGCAGCTTCGTCTCACAAAACGTGCGGTTAGGCATTACTCATTACGGGCTTTCAAGCTTTGGCCCCTATTGTTACCCTCCTCATCCACCGCGATTTATGTAGAGATCAGCGCGTTCGATCGTACGTCTTGCTCTTTCGCTTATTTCCCTTTTATGTCCGATCTGTCTCTCCATCGTACTACATTCGATCTTACCTTGGTTTTTTAGAGTTTAGGTCCTTTTCCAATTTTAGGTCACTTTGCAGCTCACCATCACTACGAAGCGCTCTTATACAACAGTTTGAAGGCACGAGTCAAGACACTCGTAGGAAGTGTTTCCATCACTAATATGGACTGGGCTGCACTCAGAGGGGTGACGCCACGCTCCTGAATCGAGATTGCGCGGCGAAAAGGCCCCGGCCTACTACTTACAGCGATGCTTGCATCAGCTAGCCCGCCCACCTCGGGATGTGGTGCGTGGCTGGCATAACGTGTGAAATCAGCTAGGTTGATTGCCGTATCAACCGATAGAACGACTGGCATCTCCAGAAAACTTGTTTGTACGTGCCTCTTCCCAAGCAGCCTCCTTCACTGCTAGTGGGAAAGGGGTTTTGTTTTCGGCCTTGTCGACGGTTTTTTTCGTTTTTTCTCCACTGTCGTTCCACTTCGCATCTCTATACTCAGTTTCAATCGCCATAATACCCCCTTATTGAGCCCGACTTTTGCCTTTACCCGGAGCTTGCCTTTGAAGACTGTGCCTATGAAGGTTTTAAATCCTCTCCCTGTAATGTTTTGAAGAATATACTCAAGGGGAACATGCAGGCCGCAGTGGGATCGCACCCGTGGCGAATGACAGCCAATCGGGACGATGACAGTGATTCATATCACATAAATGTCATTGATTGTAATACGTCAATGTTTGACTAGTTATTGTGTGAACATTTCAAGGATCTGTTTTGAGAGAGTAACAGATTCTGGAGTACTATTGTGGAGTACTACTATAATACTACTACTAGTAGTAGTATACTGTACTACTGTAGAATAATAGAGTAATGGAGTCTGTATTGAAATATCTACGGAACATCCTGTGGAAGGTTTTCCCCACTTTCTGAACAAGAAAATGCGCATTATTAGCAAGTTGACAGTAACAAACTACTAAACTACTCATAACTGTTTTAGGTATGCCTTTCTGAGCAAGAATCTGCAGTGGATGCGTAATGAGAAGAAAGGCAAAACACAATTAAAGGAAAAGTGATGCATTATGATGACAGCGCTTAGAAGGTGTTCTTACATGAGATATGTAAACCGAGCCACATATCATAACAGAGAATGGAATAGAGTGTCAACGTGAAGTAACCACATTTTACACAACTACTAATGCAGTGCTGCGTAAGTAGAAGCACGAAAACTGATAGCGGAATAGTCTGCTTTACTACCTTCAGTAATTCTTCGCTGCCTTCTCGTATGGGTGAGCCATTCATAATCTCCGATAGTTGTGTGCAAAGTTGCATTTTAAGATTGCTCATTCTGTGATTTCCACATATTGTTTTTACTTTTCACTTCTCAATTGATGTTCCGCCTAATCTTCTAATTTCTCTTCATTATATGAACCACAACCTTGGTGTGCCGATTTGTTTGTGTGTAAGTTTGTCTGACCTTCCGTCCCAAAATGGCGATTAGAATAAAGATAAAAGAATTGATGATTTAAAAACATTTCCTACCTCTATATAAACAATACAGTTAGTACGCACGCTACGCGCGCAGACATCGAGGCCTTCGGTGAAAATTGGAACAGTTGTGTGGAGCGTTAGGCTGATCACATTATGGACATCATAGATGGCGATCAGGCATAAGGCACTGGCCTTTATGTTACAATGAAAAATATACGTATAAATTAGGCCGATTAGGCGATAGGCGAGAGGCCGATGAAAAGAGAGGAAGTGTGCATACAATCTAGACAAACTGGTAATCGCCTACTCGCCTACTCGCCTACTCGCCTAGTCGATTTGTATACTTCTTAAATTTCAATCATCGCCTAAACTCCTAGTCGCACGTGCGATAAACACTATAACTAGACGCCATTCATTCAAAAAAGGGCGCATCGCTCCGCACCGCGTGCATTCCCTAAACACACCAACCATGGCCATCAACAATCAGATAATTGGCGGCCTCGAATAATATGGGCTTGCTAACGATGTTGAAATGAAAAACCTCAGCACTCTTCATCATGTTCCTTCAAACATCCACCGTACATCTTGGGGAACATGGGGAGTGTAGCGGCCGAATGTATACTCGATATCGGTGAGTTGGGGTGGGCGTGTCACCGGAAGTGACGTGCACTTGATAGAAACTATGTGGATAAGCTGCTTCCAACATACATCGCTGGCTATCAGCAAAGCATGCTGGCAACAGCTTATCCACGCACTTCTATCAAGTGCACGTCACTTCCGGTGACACACCCACCCCAACTTTCGGATATCGACTGTATTGAGGGCGTAAACGAATTGCAAATTAATGACAATGGAAGCAATTGCTATACTTCGAAGCTGTTTTTGCTGGCCTCTACATCTTTGCATATCTTTGTTATCACTCTGACAGTGGCCTCTCACTCTTCCACCCCATGTTCGTTTCAATCTACATCACTTGTCGAAACCAACGTCGCTTTGCTGCTGGGATACCCACTGTGAATTTTGTGAAATTTGCCTTCAGCGCCTCTTATCAGCTCTTATCAGTCGTTATCACTTTCTGACCCCCCAACAATATGTTCCTGTTCTGGCCCTACATCGTAATTATGCTTAGAATACAGCGCTCCACGGCTGCGGAGAATCGCACTATGAATTTCGTGACAAACATACGCACACACGGCTGCAATTTTGTTAAGAAGTTCCATTCTTTTCTTTCTTTCTTGACGCCCACTTTCTCGCTGCCTGAGCCTTTAGCCATAAAGCATAGAGCTTTAGCGTTGAAGAGGGCAGCACCGATGAGACATCCCTGACCTGACGCCTGACGCGCAAAGCAACGCAGAAGGGATCCCATTTCTTGGGTTCTAGGTTGTTCTTCTTGATTTCTCCTGTCATCAACTGCTCGAGAAAGCAAGCTCGCCTATTTCAGCTGAGCTGTTTTATCGTAAATTCGTCCTTTAAAGGTTATCTAATAGTATGAAGGGTAAAAGAACAGTGACTGCTGTAGCGTATACAAGTAGAAATTGAAAGCCTCGTAAGCTCACAGTATTGAGAAAAAGAACACTGAAATGTTCATTTCTAAACATAAGCTGTGTAAACTATTTAGGGCATCTGAATTAATAGAGGGCTTTGTTGATGAGTTTGCTGATTCACATTCTGTCGAAAATGTTCTGAAATTGAAAATTCTTCACTTAAATGGTTCTTATAAGTGAAGCGTACCAATTTACCACATTATGCGTCTGGAGAGCAAATAACAATGTCTATGTCCCCATCATTATAAACTTCGTCCATGAGGCTGAAAAACGGTCTCGAAATTCAGGTTCATCCACATTATTTCAAAGGCACATTCCGCAACTACCCACTGTTCCATCGGCAATTTTAGAGTGGTTCGCAAGGCTAAAAGTACTGCTTTCGCGGCTCAAAAATGTTAGTAAGACCGTCCGTGGGTCTGGACTCTCACGCTCTGGTTTACCACTGCCCTGTAACCGGATTTTTCTTGCCCGCAATGCACAACTCATTCACCTTTCGAGATGGCTTTCACGTGGTGAGGAGGGCTACAGGTCAATCATTATAGGTCGGAACTAGCAAACTTCAGCAATTAGAAGTGAGTACAACAGAAAATAAGACTGTTAATCCGATAAAATATCGAAGGAAGGGACCTCTTCCAGAATCCCGGTTTCTACATACACACACGTTTTGGAATTGAAGGCCAAACGGCGGCTTGCCTCACTGATTTCCAAAGGCTTCTTTTGCTTTCTGTGATGCCACACACCACATCTCTCCATCTACGGGACGACTACTCCAATTGGGCTAAGCTCGGACCTTGCCCTTGAGCACAACCCACAACTATCATCGCGGAATGTGCCTTACCTACGCGACGAAAAGTACACCAACATGACTGTAATTTGAATACCTGCATTTCGATGTCTGGATGCCGTCTTTGACTGGGAGCTCCTCTTCTGGAGTTTGGTGCGGAGCTCCTTGAGGATTGTATCGACTTAGGCTTCGATGTTGATGTCTGCTAAATAAAATACAGAATGAATGCAATGAAGTTTATGAAATTTCAGCTTAGCTGCAAAATCTGTGAAGACTACTGGTCTACGATTATCTCAAGGCGAGAATCTGGGAGAACAGGTCTGTGCTAGTAGTACGGTTCGAAATTATTGCTTTGATCGGTATTATTCTTTCTTTGCCACAGTCAACGTACGATAAATGCGATCTCAATGCAAAAACACCATTTGAAGTTCTAGATAAGGACATCTTTATAGTTATAAGAGATCACGAAAACACTTCGAAACACACTGCCCAGCAAGTTTTGGAAAGGCAAGGCCTTTAGAACTGTCAATTTTAGGTCACCCGGTCGTTGGAAAGACGGCACCACTGCTCCATAAACAAATGACGGAAAGACGAGGCTGTTTGCTAGGTGTGTGCATTTAGTTGGAACCTAGTACGGTAGCGTAATTAGTAGCGGATTACTGTAGCGCACGGCAGGTCACTTCTCACCTCCCCGAAATTACCTGAGGGATGACCCCCTAAATGCTTGCGCTGAACACTGACATTTCTGGACAGCCCCAAACCAAGCAAAACGAAGCGAGTGAAATAATATCAGAGTGAACTACTGTTTTTGAACAGTGAATTTTTAAGTATCGAATGAAACTTTATTAACATAACAGAAATTACTGAAAACGAAACTGGAAGCAAAACAAAAAAATGTACATGATCCCTACTATATGGGGGACCAATAAAAAAAAAGACATTTTGCTTTCACATTCAGATGCATCCAATCACACTTTGCTTATTTCAAACTAAATGGTCCCACCTTAGTATTGAAGAACACATTGCATTTTATACAAAGTGACCACCTACGTTGACGGCACCGGAAAGTTTGCCCCAGAAACATGGTGCACTGGTCGAGCTTAATGGGGTCTTCGAATGATCGTGACCTTTACTCTAAAGTGAGTTCCAAGGGGGTCTGGCATAGAGGAGTTAAAGTCTTTAGGAATCTATCCAACATTGAATCGATTCACGAAATATGTAAGAGCTTCACAAGTGCGAAAGGCTACGCCGTTAAAGTTTTTCCATGAACTTCATTTCGATTAGATAGGATGCGCCCCTCCCGAACCACATTTTCACCAAGGAAAGTCTTTCATGGCTTGAAGCGTTTCTTTTTTTCGAAATGGTTTTCTGCATGTTGCAGAGGCTCATGCAAGGGATACAGAACCATGGTCATTTTCTAATTTATTAATATTAATATTCTTCCTGAAGGCCTCCAGGAATATCAAGGCAGTGGGGAGGAAATGATCCAAGTTCAAAATTGCCGCCAAACCACAACAATGACATCATCTTTTCTCGACGCTGGCGCCATTTGGCGGAAATCCAGGGGCGCTAAACTGTGTTGCAAAAGTTATGGGCCATTTCTTCACCACTGTTTTGACATTCCTAGAGGTGTTCAGGAAGGAGGATCATGGTTTCGTGCACAATGCTTACCCCTTGACATCATACAGAAAACCTTTCCGAAAAGCGTTCTATTTGATACTCAGAAATCTACTGATCAAAAACAGTATTTGAATGATATTATTTCACTTGCTTCGTTTTGCTTGGTTTGGGGCTGTCCAGAAATGTCAGTATTCAAGGCAAGCAATTAAGTGGGGTCATACCACAGGCAATTCTGGGGGAGGTGAGAAGTGACCTGCCGTGCGCTACAGTAATCCGCTAATTACGCTACCGTACTAGGTTCCAACTAAGTACCTCCACCCGGTTTGCTATGGGCCAGACATTCCTACTTCTTTTCCATTTTAACTCTCAACGCAACATTTTTGCAATGCATTGCAGAAGGAATTCTGAGTTGTGGCCTGGAAATCCTCACAGCAACCTCGAACCCTTATTTTCATCCATTCGATGAATATGCTTGAGTCCCAGGTCTGGATCCATACAGAGTTATGCAGAGGTAACCCCTTAAAGGAGGATTTCACGATAAGGACGAAGGTCGAATGGGAAACTCACCAAGTGGAGATATAGGCGGACCTCTAAGTGTGC